TGAAAGAAGTATAGCAGATGTTTAATAGAGATTAACAGAGAGATTTCTGCAGCAAAATGCATGCCATCAAAAGTCAATAAAACTTAAAAAGGGCAAACTGTATTTAACCAAGAAGATGCAAATATCCAGGATTTAAATACTGACTAGCCATAGTCCATTAACAATGGCATTTAATTTTAAGTAAATGGCATTTCAGGAAAGATTCATGTCCATATTTTTGTGCTACACACATTTCAGGGCAGACCTGACAAGAAGCTATCTTGGGACTGCATCATACAACATGAGATCCCACATTGCTTATCCAGTAAAGGAATTTTACTCCTCTGCAGCCCCACCTCTTATGGTAAATGTCACCTGCCTCTAGAATGGTTTCCTTGCATTAATTCAGTTTAGGAATGAAATGAACAGAGGAAAAAAAAATCAATGAGAGGCTTAGCCAATAAGGCCAACCTACTATATTAGATTGTTTCACTCAATTACATTTCTTTTACATAGCTTAATTTAGATAACCGTCAGGTAAAAGAGGAAAAAATAGCTATATACAATTAATGCAACAGAAGGTATCAACTGACTTAAGCAGCTGGCCAAAGCAGTTAGCAATGCATCTATCCCTGGGTAAAATTACTCTCCTAGATCTGCATAATACATGCATGACTGATATTTTTATCTAGAGCATTAAACCTAATGGCTGGTTAGTTGGAATACAAAAGTGTTCTGAACAAATTCATGAAGTACAGAGAGCTGGTGTAGGTCCCATCTGTCAATGCATTTTAGTGGTCCCTGCAGCCCCATACTGAAGAATCTAAAGACCCTGCATTTATGAAGGTCTGGGTACATATTGGCAGTTGCCACCACAGTATTCTAAAATTGTTTTCAGAATCTTAGATGTAATAGTTCAACCAACTACAGCAAACAGCTAACTATATTTCTTTGTGGTTTTTTTTTCTCTACAGGTATACCCAGTATTTCCAGTATTGGTAGTAAGTAATAAAACCAGTATTGTTTTGCATTGTCATTCAGCTTCATGGATCTAATTTCCCAGCATCCCTTTCTGTTGTAGATAATGTTTCTCTGACTAGGTGCCCTACAGTGCAGGGGTTCCATGCTGGCCTTCCTCTGTTGCATTAACATGTAACTGTTATTATGTGGTCAGAGACAATGTCACTCCTGACAACTCATCTGCACTCAACCACAGATTTTCTGATTGGTTTTTATCACCAGATAAAGACTGAGTCTTATGAAACGGAGTGTTACACAAAGAATTAAGACACTGTTGCACAGAAAATATTTGTTGAGCATCTTGAAAAAAAAAAGTGTTTGCTAATGACAGTATAGGACCATTAATTTTCATGTATGTACACCTGTGTAAATCCAAAGAGCAAATGGAAGAGTTTATAAATGTAATACCTTTCGTTTTTATGAAGTAGATTTGCAAATACAGCGTATCTGCTGGTATCTGCATTACCTCTAGTGGTCTTTGAACTCGGCTTTACTCCACAAAATAAACAGAATTGTATTCCTTCACAGAAAAAATGCTTTCCTATATGCAATTAAAGGACCAAAATATTATACTTAAACTATAACAAAACCGTGACACTGTTATGTAAAGGACCACTATATCAATGAAATAGATGGTTACTTAAATATAACACTTGAAGTGACTAAGTTCACAGCAGCTCAGCTGTGGGTCTCAGCTGAATTCCATAGCAAAGAAGTGCACACAGTCATGGCACGTTAGCTAATTACAAATAAAGCAGGGAGGCAGAAATGGGATCCTGTTGTGGCTGACTGAAAGAATATTCCCCACAGCTTCAGCTTTGCAGATAGTTTAGACACAACTTGTATAATGCAGAACTATCTCAATTATAAAATATCACAGTTGTAAAATGCAATTTGCCATGCCCAGTATCCAACTGAAAAGTTTTTAATAATTTGGGTAAAATGGTCTCACTTCTTATGATGCAGGGTCAGGTCTATCAATTTATAAATCAAGTCAGTTTACTTAAGCTTATGAATGGCACTGATTTGTTAAGCTCTAGACAGCAAGTTAAATGCCATCAAAACTATCTCCCTTGCAAGTGAGAGCAGTGTTAAAGCTGAACACCACGGCATCTGTTTTGCAGCTTGAAATAGTGGAACAGCATCAATGACAATAATGTGCAAATGAAAGCCTTCAATCTTAAAAATGTCATTTTCCTGCTCTAGTGTCTCCTTTGGTATTTGCATGACTGCAAATTCATAGTGATATGCTGTTTTCAAAACTTTGTGTTTAGACGTATATTTTATAACAACAAAAAAGAAAGAACTAAATGAAAGAGAAATATATGTCAGAAATATTCCTGCCATTAATAATAGAAATGGGATGAATGGGAAAATAGGTCTTTGGAGTTTGGTTGTGCTATAGTTTCTTAGTATTGTGTTGCATGGTCTATATGGTTGTGTTTTCACTTCACACTCCATACAGCCTTCGTCTCCACATCTCCCATTTCTGAGCATCAGCAGATGTTGGCCTTTGAAAACTTAATAGGGAAACTCAAATACCTTTTGAACAATGGTGAGCTGAAAGGATGCATTGTTGACCTCTTTGTATTTTACACTGGAGTGATTAGTGCAGTTTATTTATTACAAATGGAGAAAATTCCATTTAAAATTCCATAGGAAATACAAGAGTTTCTGCAAGTCTATGCTTTATCATTAGTCTGCTGTAAATGTCTTGGAATGATATGTTGTAGAATTCAACAAATTTATTTGCCTTCCTGAAGAGTGAAGCATGAGCATCTCTTCAAGTAAATACTGATACTCTGCTTTTTTTTTCCATGTGTTTTTTCTTAAATAGCTCATGGGGGAAATAATTCTACTTGCACAATGTTCTGAACATCTTTCTGATAATACAGAAATAGCAGAACTTTTGTTAAACAAGGATAGAATCCATAAATTTATCCTGGTCTCAAAGAGAAGTCAACAGAAGTACAATTAACACGCAAATTCAAACAAGATTAATTAGTTGTGGCTGCTTTAATGGATTCTGCATGATTTTTTCTTTTGTCTATGCTAATACAGTATTTGTGTTCATATCAGCAGTTTTCCCCCATCTGGGGACAGGAGGTTATTCTTAGGAGATGCAGTTTGGGTTTGCCTGGCAACAAACACTTACGGGAGGGTATTGGTTTTTGTGTGCTTCCAGCTTTTCCTACTATATAAAGAGGATGGGGTTGGGGCAAGGGGGTTAGAAAGACTAAATTGCCAGCATACAAAGAAGATGCCAACATCAGTAATGTTCATCTAACACTTTTAAGACTGCAATGAAAACAAACAAAGAAAAATAAATATATTCCTGTGTGCACATATATGTATTATTCTCTATTCCTTTTTTACCTCAAAAGATCTTGTGTTAAAGCAGCTTATTAATAAAGTTTGAACACACAGAAAGAGTGGTCATTAGTAAACATCCTTTCTGATCATCTAGAAGGAAACAAAACAACTAAAAAAATCAGAGCTTTCCCATTAAGGTCATTTGTACCTGCTGTTGTCTATCAGTTGAATAATAGGTTCTCTGATAATTTCCAGCATTCTTGATTACAATGCTGGCCCTTTCAGCATTTTTCAGCCTTGTCTGGAAAAATACTGGTGAAAGTGTTAGCAATTAATGAGTCCCAAAACCATTTCATAATTTTAAGCAATGCTTACATACAATATGTAAATATTCTGAAAAGTACATTATTTTACTTGCTAAAATAATGATTGTACAATTTTACATAGACCAATGCATCAAAATGTTCATTATTGTGACCAAATACCAAAGTCACTAATCTGAACATGTGTGCCTTCAAAAAGTTGAATCTTCTAAACTATGGCTTGTCTTTTTTCCTGTAAAGCATAACTCCACTAATTATGCTAAACAGTTTGTTATAAAGGGTATAATTAGATACAGGATAGGATAGACATGATGTGCAAATATCTCTGTGTGGGTGATTATCACCTTAAAGCCTGCTGCTGGCAGATGAGTCAGAGTTTAGAGGCAGACCGTGCACCCAAGTGCAAGATGCAATCACAATAATCAAACGGTATTTTCTGCTTTGTTCTCTGTGGTTTTGTTCTTCTTTATAGCCAATTTCAATTGAAGAGAACTTTTTTTTATGATAATGAATGCCAGACACAGAAGTTAAAAAAAAAAAAAGACGAAATGGGCACTCTCTTATTTTATTGTTTTCTTAACCTTGAAAAATCTAGTAGTTGTTTTTCTGGGGCTAAAATTGTGCACAGATGAGTGTAGCTTTATTTGTTTTACATATTTGTTATGAAATTTGAATGTGGTAAGTACCTGTCTTAAAAGGTTGTGAGAGCAAATACTGGCAGATTTTTTTTCTTTTTAATAACAACACAAGGTATTTTGGACCTGATTTTGCCCCCTTGCAGTAACCAAGAAGTTCTCTCATTAAATCTACAATCATGTGATCAAGGCTATTACAATGCCAAGCTCTGGACTACAGCGTATACACAACACCCACATATGTCAGTGGGATATAAACATGCATAACTAGGTTTTACGTTACTTTTCTATTATTATTTGAGGTCAAGTTTTACAGAAAGCTGTACTGTTGAGAGACCATTAAGATGTTTATCTCCTTAGAACATTTAAATATTGTCTGCAGACTATATCTATTATTTTGGACATACAAGCAAAATGTTCTAATTGCAATTCCGTTTTATCCAAATCTGACCTTTTAATAAATAATACTGTTAATAAGGCTCCTAGTCTAAGACAATCACTTTATCTAAATAACTGATTATAACATCAAGCCGGTAACAGTATCTGTTTTCCCTCTTTTACTCTAGTACTTTGAAGCACTCAGAATCTTTTGCTTTAAAAATATTAAAACATTACTGAGCTGAAAGAAAATATGGATAGCCTTTATGGTATGATATACTCATTTGAACACTGGATCTGAAAGAAATTTAACAGTCCAAATAAAAGACATAATGGGTAGTTTTACCTGGTAGGATTCACAACAAGGCCATTTTCTTTTCTGTATAACTAGGATGTCGCCCTTGAAGTTCAGGAAGCAAAACTGGCCCCAGCACTGAGCAGAAAACATCCCAGCAGAGTGATTCCAGTGCAGGGTCAGAAACCACCAATGCTGCTCCAGGGAGCACTGACAGGTTATTGGGATGGGATTTGGGAGAGCCTTTGTTTCAGTTTTTGTTTTGCCAGATCCACCAATTTTAACAGATAAGAAGAGCTGTTCTCACCAGTCTCGTAGACACGGGCACTGACAGTTTAGTATTCTTTCTCATTCTTCATTCCAGTTCACCATCATCATCATGGGTTAGTTAAAAACAGTCTGTCAGTCAAATAGTGTTTTCAATGCTTTTTGATTTGCTTTAATATAGGGAAAATTATTCAGTTGACAGTTATCTTTGTTTTAACCATTAATAAACAATGAAATGATAGGACACTATAGAAAATAAGATATCAACATTTCAATATGTACCATGGTACCCATGCAAAACACATAGCACAACATGCAAGTTTAGCTCAGTTACTCAAGGAAGTTTATAGAGAGCAGGCATGATCCACAAAGATATTTTAAAATCTAATTAGCCATAAAGCTTAGGGAGAAACTGCTGGGAAAAAAAATATACTTCTAGATATTACCCTCTCACCTTTTTCTTTCTGTCCCTTAGACATGTAATCAGTTTATTTCACAGAGTATAAGGAAAGAATGAGATTTCCAAATCAGCATAGCAATTATTAAGAAAAAGGTCTTGAATTCTTGTTCATCAGTTGTGTATTACTGTATAATAATCCCAACTGACCAGCCAATTTCAGCATTTTTGTAGGAAGAAACAGAATCAATCCAAATAAAAAGGAGCAATCCTGCAAACTATCACCAAAATTGTTTACTTTGTGTTTCATGAGATTTGTACCTAAATATTTCATTCAAAAAAGGCTTTGATTCATTGTGCACTTCTACAAACATTTTAGTGGAAATACTTCAAAAATTGAAGAATTCCCTCAACTCTCATTAGTTTGAGAATCAGCCAACAATTTATTCAAGTCAATGGACTTTTTTTCTGATATCTGAAAGTTTTCAGAGCTAGATTTATCTTTTTTTAAAAATCCTCTAAAAAGATCACTTTCTTTTAGTCTACAACAAGTGGACACATATAGGACTAATTGCATTTAAATTGTTCCAACAGTTATAAAAGCTGTTATGGCTGAGGAGCTGCCATAAAACAACCACATCTTCACATTTATGCAGAATTCTCCTTTCTTCAAAGGAAAAGGTATGAAACTTCCTACATTGCTCCAAGAAAGATTGCCTAATATTGGCAAGTATTTTTTTAAAACTTAATGAAATAAAGGGGTGATTAAAAAAAAAAATCAGCATTTCTTCTCTTTCAATGCTTTCAGTTTGGCAGTTTATTGAAAGTGCTGAAAGGCAAATTTTATGTAAGGTAGGTTATCATGACTTCAAAAAGACAAAAGGAGATAGAAATGCTGTAATAATGATAGTGTGATGCTTGCAAGAAGTGGTGGAACACAATCTGATATAAACACACCCAATTATTCTATCACTTACTAAATATGCCATTGATTTCAGTGAACATTATTTTTTATTATTCCTAGCTTTTTTGTTCAATATTAACACCTAAAACCACTGTCGTAACTCCACTGTGCCCAGCATATATTTTTTAATATCCTAGAACAGCTATTTACTGTTGCTTACTCATGGTTTAAAAAAGGCAGTGGCAAGGGCAGCTTTCTATGGCTGGAAACATGAACTTCTACTGAATCATCAAGTTTACATTGACAATTTTTTTTATACTTTTTTGTGTTTTAAATGGGAGGAGAGTTAGAAAGCACATTAATCAGATTATTTCACAAGGGTTCCTTATTGTTATTAAAAATTAAATTAATAATTATAGTTGCCAACACAAGTGCTCCCTGTTTGCCATTAGTGAGCATGATTTAAGACTTACTGATTTATTAGTAGTAATTTACAGCAAATGCATAGTTTGTGGGCTGGGTCAGCAGACACAGTTTAGGAGATGACAAGGCGCTACTCTGCTGTAGAGCACAGATGCCCATCACTGTGTTCATGCACTCTATCACCCTTGCTCTTCATCCCTGAGGAAGGATAGCCCCTCTCAGTGGGAATGCATTTTATTTTTAATGTCAGCTCATTACTTGGTTGGAGTGAGAAACCAACAACGTGCTGATGAATTCCTGCCAAGATCATGACAGGTTTTTTTCATGTGCAGCTGCCTGGTTGGAATTGGGCTGAAACTACCCGTTCATTTCCTTTATTTCCCTGATCTGAAACTATGATGTAGCCCATGGTGCAGACGGCACTTCCAGTGAATTACTGAGACAGATTTTTTGTTGTTTAGTATCAGAAGTAATTCTGATAGTGTGTATCCAAAAAAAAAAAAAAATAGGGAAGGGAAAAAGGAAATTATCATACATCTAATAAATATAATGGAATCAGTTTTTCCTTACTTCATGAAAGCCCATAGTTATTTTCTACATATAATTGGCTTTAGAACAATAGTAACTAAAAATGCAAAAATTTCCAATGCAAATATAAAATGTCATATCTGATTTTCTGCTTACCTGAACAGCTCACATACCTCCACTCTTAAAGGTGGCTACAGTAGCTTCAATTTTAAATAATAACACTAAAACATACATTCAGAAACTCTCACATTTCTGTAGCCTTGTTTGCCCAAATAACTGTCATGGAATATATTACAGTAGATTTACATAGGATATCTTATAGAATACCTACACCAGAATTCTTTAATTATTCTGGCAAATAATGACTCTAATTACAAAATACAGTGTGCAGTCATAGCAGTGTTCTGGAAAAGATTGGTTTATCTAGTCAACTTCTCTATAAATAAAATCCTTCATGGTAATCTCCAAGGACTAGAAATATTTTCACAGGTTGCTGTGAAAGAATAACTAGCTGCTAAATGAATCTTCCCAGTGGCTGTTCAAAGGATGACTCATCTGCTCCAATATACATGTGGGAATGACAGTCAACATTCTTTGACTTGGACATCTCACATATCTTTTTAGATAAAGCATTTAAAGTCATCTCCCTTAAAAAAAATTAATAAATTCAAGAGATGGAGAAAGACCTTTATCAAGAAACCTGTAATCTTGATGATGATACAGTCCGTGAATAAGGATATGAGAAAAAGATATCCTCTTTACCAAAGATTGAAAAAAATCACATAATATAAGCATTAAGTCTCATTAGTCTTTCATATTACCAAGCAGCAGCTGGTTTCAGCTGGATATGACCTTCAGTAACCTCATCTAACCTTAGCGTTGACCCTGCCATGAGCAAATATAAGAAACAAATGACCTCCAGAAGTCCCTTCTAAGATGGTTATAATTATCACTAATAACTAGTAATAATCACTAGTTATAATGCTTAATTGGTAATCTCCAGGCACTGTAAATATGTTCTTTATTGTTTTGGGTGTCCATTAAGAAACTCAGCTCAGTGTTATCTAATTTAAAGGGTCAGGGAATTTTTAATTATTTTGTGGTAAGTCACAACCGCCATTTTAAGTTCGCTAAAACAAGCACAGATCTATAACATTTACAGGATCACTAAGAAATAGGTAACACTGATTTTTTTCTGCCTTACAAGCAGTGGTTTTATTTGGACATGAGATTACTTGGAGAAATTATAATGAGAATAGATTATATATGAAATATTACTGATTATATGAGTCCAATTATGTCCAGTGTCTGATTTCCTATATAGGACCTGCAGTTTACTAAATGACATATTACAGAGGGTTAGTCCTAAGGCATTACAAAGCTTTGACACTATTACTTTTACCTCTGATAATACCTAAGCCTTTTCAGTTGAAGACCACTATACCTGTGAATTTTTGTATTAGGTGCGCCACACTGTACTTAACAACACAAGGAGGATATTGGAAGCTCCAGTCTGAAATGTTAACAGCTTCCTGCAATAACTCTGATGCTGCACAAGGGCTAAAAGAGAAAAAGGCTCAGGGAACAGCAGGACAATGTAGTCCATAAAGATTGCTTTTGCTTTTTTAATATATTTTTATATGTATTCTCTAATGTCCAGTCCCTTTAAAATGTTTAGGTCAAGCCTAAGTGTTCCTAAAGCTACCAGAATTTCAACAGTGAATTAACTGTGCAAATAATTTGCCTGTGCATGCTTGAAACTTATTTACTATAACCAGTCAGTCAGTGTTTCAGGAGGAGAAAGGTGGTCTCTCAAGTGCATGGTAGTAGAGTCTTTCAGTGGAAGGGCTGGGTTATCATGCCACCTCAATAAGTACAGCTTGTCATACACCCTGACTGTTGTGTTTGCACTTCCTATGTGTGTGAATTGGTGGATCTGACCTGTAGAGGCAGGTTATTTTTAATCAATATATAGACTGAGAATCTACCAAACTAACTCAGTTTTTCTATTTTCTTGATTGATAAGGAAAAAGCACAAAAATGCAATAATCTGATGTAATTATGTGATTAGATTACACCTTGACCCATTCAATTGCAGAAGACTACCTAACAGTAAATGGCACAGTGCAGGTCATCATCCTTTCCTTGAATTGTTCTCTGTGTGGGAGGACTTTGGAGACAGACAGCCTCACCCACCCAATTTCTCTTCACCCTTGACAAATGGGTCACAAGAAACTTTGGGATGTCCTCCTTCCATATCAGATGTTTGAAGCCTCAGTCTTTTTGCCACAGCTTCACTGCAGGTCTCCCACTAAGATGGACATAACAGTGAAACACATTTTCTTTACAAAGACATATAAGCCTAGGCCCTTGATGCCCAACCAAGTTGTGACAACTGCAATCTACTCAACTACCCAACTGAATTCCTCATAGATGGAAGTGAAGGAATAGCTCTCTTATGTAGAGAGCTATGTAGCCATATGTAGGCTGATGTAACCATTAAGAAAAATTATGTTCGACTCAGAGAAAGCACAACCACTGCAATACTCAGAGAAGATAATAAAAACATGGTCCAAGTCTGATGTTTAAAACAAGGCAGATGGAAATGGAAAATAAAAAAAGTTTTCTTTCCTTCCTCCACAATGCCCCCATCCCCTTCACTTATTCTCAGCTCCAACACCCAGCACTCTTCCGCTGAGGATTGTCACTCCCCACTACTCCAGCCCTGTAACACATTAACCAAAGGAGATAAAGCTCTAAAGAGACACAGATAATTCTTTTGCTGGGACACAAGATGCTTCATGCAAGTAACACGTTATGTAGGATTTCTAAGAAATGTAGACATTTAATGTTTTGCCAAAAAAAAAAAATCAAGCTGTAAAATATATCAGCAGAGGTGATAGGAAATAGAGGAAACACAAAAAGCTTTGAGAGCTGAAGAAAAGGCCCACTCTACTGGTAAATATATTTCTTCCTATAACAGATATGTAATTCACTCAAAAGGCCCTAAAACAGGATGATAAGGTAAGATATGTGTCTTTGATAAGAAATCCATATTTGTCTGATACTGTCATTTTATCTCTGAAGAGCAGATTTAACAGAATATGTTCCTGTTTTGTTCCTGGTGTTGGAACCATATATATTGCCCTAGGATATCTTCTCATCATGAAAAATTGTATTTTAAACCACAGAGGATGAATTGTTATGCACAGTATTTTATGTCCATTTGGTGTTTTGGGAATCATCAATTGCTTGTTTTCTTGTTCACTGTGGAGTCATGTACTGTTCAAGTGCAACTTAGACTAGTACAGTAATAGATGTTTGTAATCTATGTCTTTGTCCATATGCTTGCCTGTTTAGAACAATAACACAGATGTAAATAACAAAACCTGATTTTTCCTGATGCATGCAGATCCTCCAAAGTTTGATAGGATATGGCCGAATATTTCTTCCCTTGAGGTTTCTAAACCAAACCAAGGTAGGATACTGTAAAATTCCTAGTGGTCTAAAGTTACTGAAATTGCTTTTGAGTCCCACATGGTGGCAAAAGTAGTAACGATGATAATCCAATTCACTTTTCTCTGATACTAAGTAATGCTATCCTGTGAGAAAATAACTATAAAACAAACCTTATCTGAAAAAGGAGTCTTCCAGCAATCAGACTGTACACATGACTGCAAAAAGTCTGGAAAAGTAGACACACAGCACTGATATACACAAAGCCCTAGATAATGTTGGACTTGTTTAGACAGCACAGTCTATATTTTGAGTAAGTTTTGAGATTTTTGAGTGTAAAAGATTGTCATTGTCTACATCAAACCCATTTATAATGTCTTGTTTCCATTTTGCTTTCCCAAGTGAGCTGAGAAGCATTCTCAGCTTTCATGCCATCCACAATACAAGCAAGTTCTCTGCAGGACAGACTCATGGTTTTCTACAATTTGAGCGCCACACGAAAAATTACTCACAGACTGTGGCACATTGATTAGCATTGAAAGAAACAAATTACTTTTTATGACTAATAAAAGTAAGGTTCTTTGTTGTTTGAAGAAGTATTCAGCCATACTTCACATTCAGAATTATTGTTCATTATAAAAATAATGTCCTTTTGTTCTTCTTACTTACTGCCCTTTCCTCTTCAAAAATCCCTGCAGAAATCTGGCCTGTGGCTTGCCTTCACTGTTCAAAGGTGTCCTTTCTGTGCTGTAACACATAGAGGTGGAGAATAAAATTAATGGAAAGGCAGTCTAGAAAAAGAGCCACTAAACCGAACAAGATGTGTTGGGAATTACATTGGAAGGACTGTAATTAAATCTATGGATCACAATGACCAAATCAAAACACATGCATGTAAAATCTACCATGTTATATGTGCAAGTTTCTATGTGCCCAAAAAAACAGAAAATACTAATTAATCTTTGCTCTCAACAAGAATTAACAATGTACTATAGTTCAGATTATTCATATGTATTTTAAACTAAATATCCCTGATAAAGTGATACTTAGCATTCCAGCAACTTCATTTAGCCCCTGTTATGTTTTCCAAGCTTTTGCATGTGTTCCTTAAACAAACAGAAAAAAACAGATTGATCTCCTTTCCTCTGCTTTCTGTAAGGATTAGCCTACATTATTCACAGGAATTTTAAATCAAAACATTCCCAATTAAATTATACTTAGCATTTCTAATGGATTTCATAGCTTAATTATACTGTGAGTGATCTAAGACTTTGTTGCAAAATACATCTCGAACAGCACAGAATTATTCAATGTTTCTTCCCCAAAAATAAAGAGTTTAAGTAAATTTAGTTTTGATGTTTTGTTAGGGAACATAAAACACAAAAAGTTACAAGCATTTCTATTCAGTTTATGCGTGTTTGCAGCATTTGTCAGTGTTTAACATTTATTGTAGATTAAATACTTCAGTTAAGGATAGTGTATGAAAAGAATAATTACAGCAATCTGCCTATATCTAATTGTTTTATTGTGGGGTTCATGTTCATACTATTTGGCCAGAATAAATACGCATACAAATTCGATAAAACCCTTTTCAGACCACTCTGGTTACCATGTACTCATTTGTCATGGATTGGGAGAAATCACCAAATAATCTCTAACTCAAAACTGCCAAAGTGTGTCGATGTGAATTACGTTCCCCGTCTTGATCTTGGGTATTACAGCTCAAATGATTCAATAGTTGGTAGCATATAACTCATTTTCTCTATCTTTCACTCTTTCCTTAGAAAACAACAACCATTGTTAAATTTAATTTAAAAGTTAGAAAATAAAGATGTTTATTTTAATCTTTCAATTTGTTCCTATGTGATATCTTTTCTAATTTACTGTTCATTTTATTACTATCCAGTTGCTCCCAAATTAGCTATGTCAACTGTTTCTTCTGTTCAAGTTGCAAACCACAAGAGAGGTAGGAATTCTAGGATTCATACAGTGTTTCCATAGTGCTCTGTGTTGTGAAAACATTGCACTGTATGAATCTGGAATATCTGTGAAGTGTACCCATTAGTTTACTAGTGAGGCATCTTCATTGAATACAACAGAAGCATTAAGTTGCGTAAACACAGGCCATACAAAGAAAAATAAATCTGCTTCTTAGAGAGTCGTGTCTGGCAAATAAAGTGACATGGCATTTATTTTTAAAGGAGTAAAATGTATGAATATGACCATTCAGATCCTTGCCTAGAAAGGATGTTTACTAGAGTCTTGTGTTCCTCACTGATATGCATAAATTGTAAAAGAAGAAACATAAGCAGATTAGTTGAGGGAAAACAATACAGAAAACATCAGTTGTCCATGTCCTCAAAAAGTATCTGTAAATGCCATGGAGTGTAATGCATTGTTATGTCTTCTAATGCATTGTAAGTGTGCCTTACATCTTCATTTTATTGTAAGTGTGCAAATTCAGAGTGTAGGCATTACATTTTGAACTGTTCAATGTTTCATCAAAAAAGTGGAATTATATAGGCATAATAAAGCATGCCAATATTCTCTCTGATGTACAGGCAGCCCGTTTCATTAGCATATCTGTCATTCACAGCCTGAACCCTGAGATCTCTTTATTGTTTTTCCTCATCAATTTATCTGTAAAGAGTATGTATGAAGATGTTTTGTCTTTCTGTAGCTATTGTGAATATCTCATTATTCATGAAATACATATTAACAAGGAATAGGGTTATTAAAAAATGTTTGAACTTAGTTTGACCCATTTGATGAGATCATGGTAATGAGCCATACTGTTTGTTACGAAGCAGGTAATTTCTAAGGTTACAGTGAAATCTCCTTTGTTTGCTGTAGTGTATGGAGGAGGAACACAGAGTTGCTGTAGTGTATGGAGGAGGAACACAGAGTTACTGGAGAATAAAAAAGAAAAAATAATGTAATGATTTCTGAATGCACTTTTCTTGAAATATGCTTTGTGCTTTTAATTAGAAAGTCACACTGATAGCTGTCTCGTGCATTACCTGTCTTAGTTTATAAACTATGAGACCCTCCCATGTGCGTTCACCATTGTTTCATGTGGTGGCATTTCATGTTTTACTGGTTGCAGCTGAAGCTTCAGCTGAACCTCATCCTCACAACAACAGTATGTCATCTCAAAGATGTAATGGGGCAAAATGCATTCAATTTATAGAAACAAAACAATTAGATTATCAACCTCTTCATGAGCCTCCTTCAATGGGTAATTTTATCATACTTTATGCAAGAGGATCAAGATTGTTGCAATAGAATCATTACATTGGAAAATAGTTTTTAAAGGCTGATAGAGTCAATGCTTCCATGAGTTTGCAAGGGATTTGACAATTCCTGAATCATCCAAAGACAATGATCACATCTAACATGGTGGTCTCTTCTCCCTTTTTCCTTTACATTAAACCTATCTAGCTATCATTACCTCTCCTCCGAGATTTTAGTTTTCCAACCATTCACTCCTTATTGTTATTCAACTTATCTGTGTCTTTCCTGACACGTGGTACTCAAAACTGAAAGCAGCATTTTCTAGCTCTGTGAGACACTCATGTCATTCCACTGTTGGTAAACCATGTGCAGCCTGATTTTGATACTTCTTCCCCATCTCCTTCAGTGATTGCATGACTTTGCCAGCACATGAAAAGTGGTTAGGCTGCTAGACCAGAGATGTGTGTCTAAACACCTAAGCTGTGCTTCTGACCATTCTAACAAGCAGGCTACTTTCTGGTTAAGGTGAACCACATGATAAGGTAGACAGGCCATACAGCACTGACAACTATTAGCTTCCCAGCTGGCATGATGGTGAATGCAATTCTATGTGCAATGTTTGAGTGGTGTAGCACCTCATGTAGCCAGTAGAGAAAATAATTCCATTTCAATCATATGAGGACTCTTTACATAGCTTATTTTTGTAAACACAGAGGGATGTAAAAATGATTCACTGATCAGGCCAACAGCAGCAAATTATTGCACTAGCAAAATGGTGAGGAGGCAGGGGAGAAAGAAACATTACCACAAAATTGATTTAATCATTACTTGCCATGCCTCTTTTTTTTTTCCTTTTGCCATTATTAATGTTTGATGAGATGTTAGACTGTTTTCAAGTTAACTGTGGTTTTTTTCTACACCATGTAGCATTTAGTAGTCAGATCAAGACTCCTAGAGCTTTCCTGTACCTTAGCATAAGTTAACTTTCAGACAAAGACTTTCTTTCACACAGCACAGTTGTTACAAGAGCAGTACCCATATAAATGCAACCAAGAACTGGTCTCATCGTTTACCTTTAATATCGATGACCCACGTCTGAACTTGGGTGGTCATTTTGCATATGTTTAGGAGCATGTGTGTACATCCAAGTCCTTCATAATTATCAGATGCTTCTTCACTCCAAATCATAATTTGGAGCAAGTCTTGTTACAGAGTGAATTACTTAATGTGCAGCTTTTTTTTCATGTGCTTTTGTAATGTGCTTGTAATTATGTGTAGTAGTAATATTAATTAAGGTCATATCAAAATTTCAGAGTGGAAGTAGTGCAGTCATTCATTCACAGAATATTCTCCATTTCTTTCTGCTACTTTAAACACCAAAGACGGTGTAACATAGCCTGATTTTTGTTATAGTCTGCATATTTTGGAAACATAAGAATGTAGTATTGGGTTGCCTGTTACTGATTTGAAAAACAAGGTAAATTATTTCCTCTAAATTCACCTACAGAATGAAAATGCTTAGCAAGTCTGACAAACATACCAATACAGTATCATCTCACCAAAATAAATTGTCTAATTGTAGTAGAAGACAGGTCCTTTGTCAGACAGAGAAACTAAGACAGCCTTGCTTCTGAATCCAAAACTCAGAAAGATCAGATTGATTGCTTATCACTAGCCAGTCACATAAACTTTTACAATCCTAACAATTTTCTGTGATTCCTATTTTCTAGTGCTAGTTTTCACTTTTACATCTCTCTTCTCTGCCCCACACAGCCAGTTCTCACTTGAGATGCTGAATCACACTGACCAACTGCAAAAGACAACAAACATTAACATACTTTTCATCCCTACTCATTTGTCTCAAGTGAGACAGATACACCAAATGTTTTCCTGTACTCCAGCACTTATAGGCATCAAAATTATCAGATTGGCATGAACCACAAAACATTGATTTAGAAGTATAGTATCAAAGAGAACAAGAAATACATGTTAACTAAATGCGTATATGTAAAATTAATTAATGTTTCCTGGCAGGAGAAAGGCAGCTCTCAAGATTGAAACATATGTTGTGCTAAATGTCTAAGAAAAAATGCAGTCTATTTACAGTCCACTACATCAGAAAAAAGCCAAAGAAATATATGTATTAGGTGGGCATAGCATGCTCAGAAACATGTACGAGGACTGTTATTTCTTTATACAAATATAGACAGGCACAAATATTGTATCTGATGCCCACCTCCAACAATCAGTGGGCTCATTAGGCGTCCCAGCATAATTAGGAGGATACCAGAGGAAAGGCAGCACAAAGTACTTTGCCTCTGTCATGTATGGAAACATTGTACACCCTCTGCTACAGCTTTATCTAATTGCAAGATAAGTTACCTTCAAGACCTTGAAACCCTTCCAAGTCACTGCATCCAGTGCTCTGTTACTGAAGGAAACATACTGTAATTTGTTCCACCAGTTAATAAACTACATCTCTAAAGCATCAGTGTGTTTTGCTACAAATTGAA